GAAGAAGTGGGGAGGTTGGTGAGGAAGAGGGGGGATGTACTAAATATTATGGACCTCACCAGCGCAGCATGCATAGAGGCTGCTGAGCTCTATGGGCCAAGCGCTTTGAGTGAAGGTTTATTTATCACGTACTGTAGCGTTGAATGTATAGCATAGAATTGTAACTAACATTGTGTTTCTTCCTTTGCAGCTGACATGGAACAGTTTCTGAATACTGCTGGAGGGAAGGCCATCCCCAAGAAGCCAAGGAAGAAGTCAAGGACTTCAGCTAAGCAAGTGGATGAGGGGAGAGCTGGGAAGGAGGTAGTGCCCTTAGCACCAGCTGAGGTGGAGGAAGCGGTGCCAGCACTGAAGAGGAAGGGTTGGGAAGAAAGGAGGGCACTGCAGAAGAAGCAGAAGGTGGTGGAGGAAGAGGGGAGTGGGGTGCCTGAGTTTGTACCTCAGCCACCTCCTGTTGAGCTGGACCCCGAGCTCAGACAGTTGGAGGAGGGGGCTGAGGTACGAGCTCCTGGTAAGGGAAAGGGCCCTGTTACCTCGGCGGTGTCTCAGAGCAGCCTGTTCGAGGCGAAGAACATGATGGGGGCTAGGTGGTTTATCAACAACACCTTCCCCGAAGTGGACAAACGCCACGCGCGAGAGGAGGCTCTGAGGTACGAAGGAGCTTCTGTGGTGAAGCACGTCCTTGAGGTACGTTAAATTAATGTTGCTATTTACTTATTCTGTTTCTTCTCTTCTGGTTCTTTGAACTTCTGCTTTGATTTGCAGAGCGCGAGCTGGGTGAATGGTCTAGCCCAGGAGTTCAGGGAGGGTGTAAAGGCGCGCGCACTCTTACAGAGGCAGTGTGACCAGCTGCAGAAGGAGAAGGAAGAGCTGGAGAAGAAGAATAAGGAGATGCAAGAGTCTCTGAACGAGGTGGTTCCAGCTATGAAGCAGTTGGAGCAGGAGAGGTCTTCCCTGAGCACCAAGCTCGTCTTTGAGGAGAGCAAACGAAGGATCTATGAAAGCGAGCGTGAGGCTCAGGCGCAAGAAATAAGGCTGATGACGGAGGCATTCAAGGAGCTGAAAGGGAACATGTAGAAGTTGGTGCATAATGGAATGAAGGAGCACATCAGCAACTTCATCAGTTCCAGCTCGTTTGACAGCATCGTCAACTTGTACCGGCTGCCCACTGCCATCATCGCGTTCACTGATTGCAGAAAGAAGGTGAAGGCTGCATATCCCGAAGTGGACGTGACAAAGATCACCTTTGGCGAGCAAGAAGAAGGAGTGGAGGAAGATGGTGAGAGCTTGTCAGCAGACTTCCGTCCTCAAATCAAACTGAGGTGGGAGGATGATGCAGACGGTCTTGTTGTTTTCCCTCCAGAATTCGACTTCGAGTTCGTGGCAGTGGAGGAAGAAGGGGCAGAGGTAGGAGGAGACGAAGTGGAGGCAAGAGTGGAAGGAACTGAAGTGG